TATTACCTATCTGATATTGCAAGAAGTCCATTTAGTAACATGCGATATTTGGAAAATTTGCATGATGGTAACGACATCGTTTTGACAATACAAACCACAAAATTACTGCAACATCTTGAAAAATTTTTATCAGAAAAAACAAACAAAAAGTGGTTAATATTTTTTTTTACATTTGTTATTTAGTAACATCCGATATTTGGAAAATTTTGCATCTGATAAATTATCGTTTTCTAATAGGTACAAAACATCCATTAAAATATATTCGATAACATTTCTTTTGTTTACCAAATTGTAGACAACAATGTCTGCGCATGCATTTTATCAGGCCCTATTGAAACAAATTTTCCAAAAAAAATTATATATATATATAAAATAAAAATTGCAAAATTTAATTAAATTTAAACAAAATTTTTAATTAAATTTAACTTTACAAAATATATTTGCAAGATTTAAAATCTCTGAAAACATGATTTTGTTCTCAGTTTCTTCAATAGGAAAGTGGTTAAAAAATAATTGAATGAAGCAGTCCATTCAAACATGATTTTGGACACTATTTAGGTTGCTAGAAAGAAAGAAGAAAAAAAAAATTTATCAGAAAGAATATTAAACAAACATTGTGATCGGTAAGAAGCCATTACCATCTGATATTGCAAGACACTAGTAACATGCGATATTTGGAAAATTTTGCATCTGATATTCTTTTAACAAACCCAAATTAAAATGCTGAAAAGGTTTTATTCCGGAACAAAATTCCAAAAATCGAGGTTAATAACATTATTGTTGAATATTAATCTGATATTGTAGTCCATTTTAAACGATATTTGGAAAATTTGTTGATATAACGCCCATCGTTTCGGACCCACAATTTAATTTGAAATTCATGAAAGCGCACCGAACAAACATTCCAAAGATCGGTCTAGTGGTTAATAAATTTTGGGGTAACATGCGATCAGGTGACCTACAGAGCAGAATTCTAAAGAGATAAAAATAAAATTTATTAATTGATATTTGGAAATTTAGTTTTCGCGGAAAAATGTCCGTTTTTGGATGGCACAAAACCAATTACTGCAAGATTTAGATCTCATCTCTGATTGTCTTTTATAAGAAAAACAAAAGATTAAACATTCATTAGCTATATTACTATATATTGCAAGAAAATGTCGTTTGAAAAAGGCATTTTGTTTATTGTCAAGAGCTGGTCATGAGAGCAAAATTATTTTATCGGAACAGATAAGATGTCCATTTAGTAACATCCAGGTCGCCTGAGATAACGCCCATCGTTTTTCTAATAGGTACAAACCACCCACTTGATGCGTGCTTGGTGAATATTCGAATTGATTAAAGTGCAGGTGATTCGGTTAAGATAAGAGTCTAAGGTTTAAGGGCAAAGAAAAAAAAAAAAAAAATCTCAAAGATATAATTTTTTTTTCTTTGAGCTGCAAAGAATCTCTGTATGTTTGTGCTTTATCAGAAATTTTAAACAATGATTCTGGCCACACCCATGTCCTGTAACATGTAGATATTTGGCCCATTTTGAATGCTGGCGTGAGCGGCAGGCGAAGGTATCGGTCTAGTGGTTAATAACATTATGAAGAATGCGATATTTGGAAAAGGGATCTGATATCGTAACGCCCATCGTTGCAAGATTTAGATCCCCCTGAAGGGATCGTTTTATCAGAAATGCCCCTATATTCGAATAAAACATTCCAAAATCGGTCTAGTGGTTAATAAGATGCCACTGTGAGAGAGAGGTAAAAAATTTGTTGTTGACACCCTCTGAGGGTATGGTGAAAGATTTACCAATATGACAAAAGAAGAAGGTGGAGGACGAAACCATCCAAAGATCGGTATAGTGGTTTTCCAAAAATGGAAAATGCGTCCATTTAGTAAAATTTTCCTGACCTGAAACAAAGAAGTGGATTGTGGATTTAGAATTATCAAGGAACCTCAAACCCCGACAAATATTGTTGCATATTACCATCTAAATATTAAAGTTTTGGTCGGCGTCCATATAAGCAAGAGTCGCAACATGGCCCGGAGTGATGGACAGTTCCATTTAAGTTTGTTGACATTTTGAGTTGGCAGTTCGAGTTACGTTCGCACCCACAATTACTGCAAATTTAGAGCATCTCTGAAAACATGGATTTGATTGAGTTGGATTCGCCTGAATATTACCTATCCGGTTGCAGGAACGTATTTGGAAAATTTTGCATCTGATATCGCAAATCACGCCCTCAACTTCTAAATCGGGATTTAAAGAACAATTTAATTTTGAAGAACGACTCAAAGACTAACACCACCGAAACAAGTGTCCATTTAAACGAATATCGCCTGAATATATACACCAAGAACCAGTTTTGATCTCTATCTTAAAGAACAAATATTCGAACAAAACAGATCGGTAAGATGTTAAGACTATTGTAAGATGTGCATTTAGTCGATATTTGAAAAAACACAAAGTTATTGTCACGAATCCATATAGCGGGTTGGGAAGAAGACGAAAAAGATCCTGTATTCAGCAACCAGATATAAAATATTGTTATCCTTTTTTTAACACATTTGAACTTTTCAGTGAGTTATTAATTTATTTTCTTTTACATAACGCCCTTGTGTGGTGTTGCAAATTTAGATTGTCCGGACTCAGATTATTGCATTACGGCCCAGCGACTGATTGATTTCGTCTACCTAAATATCACATCACAACGTGGGTATCATATTAGACTAGAAATCAAAACAGTTAATTTCGGTAACCAGATGTTGGAGGCGAGCTAATTACAATAATTCGAAAAACATTCCTGATAAATGGAAGAAGTCCATTTAGTCATGCGAAATAACCATTTCCCATCCGAATCATATCTGAAAAAAGCCCAGAATTTTTCCGGCATTTGGTACAAACGACCAAATTAAGTCAACATGTAAACAGGACCTGATTGTCTTTACAGGCTAAAGTTGAAACCGATCTCAGTGGGTCTGACCTGACATTTGGAGTCAGGATATTGTCTTGTACAGGCTACTTCTGCTGTCGTATCGTGTCAGGATGGGTCTGAACATATCGGTTGCAAACTTAGTGGGTCTGACCTGACATTTAAACAGGAGTCAGGATATTGTCTTTACAGGCTACTTCTGCTGTCGTACCTCGGTTGCAAAAACTGATCTCTGACATTTGGGTCTGACCTACTTCTGCTGTCGTACCTCTGCTGATCTCAGTGGGACATTTAAACAGATAAACAGTTCTGCTGTCGTACCTCGGTTGCAAACTGTCTGACCTGACATTTAAACAGGAGTCAGGATATCGGTCTTGTATTGCAAACTGTTCTCAGTGGGTCTGACCTGACATTTAAACAGGTCAGGATATTGTCTTGTACAGGCTACTTCTGCAAACCTCGGTTGCAAACTGTTCTCAGTGGGTCTGACCTGACATTTAAACAGGAGTCAGGATATTGTCTTGTACAGGCTACTTCTGCTGTCGTACCTCGGTTGCAAACTGATCTCAGTGGGTCTGACCTGACATTTAAACAGGAGTCAGGATATCTCAGGCTACTTCTGCTGTCGTACCTGGGATCTCAGTGGGTCTGACCTGACATTTAAACAGGAGTCAGGATATTGTCTTGTACAGGCTACTTCTGCTGTCGTACCTCGGTTGCAAACTGATCTCAGTGGGTCTGACCTGACATTTAAACAGGAGTCAGGATATTGTCTTGTACAGGCTACTTCTGCTGTCGTACCTCGGTTGCAAACTGATCTCAGTGGGTCTGACCTGACATTTAAACAGGAGTCAGGATATTGTCTTGTACAGGCTACTTCTGGTCAGGATTTGTACATTTAAACATTTAAAGGAGTCAGGATATTGTCTTGTACAGGCTACTTCGATTTGCAAACTGATCTCAGTGAATCTGACCTGACATTTAGTCAGGATATTGTCTTGTACAGGCTGTCTGATACCTCGGTTGCAAACATTCCAGTGGGTGACCTGACATTTAAACAGGAGTCAGGATATTGTCTTGTACAGGCTACTTCTGCTGTCGTACCTCGGTTGCAAAACTGATCTCAGTGGGTCTTGACATTTAAACTCAGGATATTGTCTTGTCAGGCTACTTCTGCTGTCGTACCTCGGTTGGTCAGTGGACTGACCTGACATTTAAACAGGAGTCAGGATATTGTCTTGTACAGGCTACTTCTGCTGTCGTACCTCGGTTGCAAACTGATCTCAGTGGGTCTGACCTGACATTTAAACAGGAGTCAGGATATTCTCTTGTACAGGCTACTTCTGCTGTCGTACCTCACAGGCAAACTTTTGCTGGGTCTGACCTGACATTTAAACAGGAGTCAGGATATTGTCTTGTACAAACTTCTGCTGTCGTACCTCGGTTGCAAACTGATCTGGGTCTGACCTGACATTTAAACAGGAGTCAGGATATTGTCTTGTACAGGCTACTTCTGCTGTCGTACCTCGGTTTGATCTCAGTGGGTCTGACTGACATGCCTTTTAAACAGGAGTCAGGATATTGGTTTGCAAACTGATCTAAGTGGGTCTGACCTGACATTTAAACAGGAGTCAGGATATTGTCTTGTACAGGCTACTTCTGCTGTCGTACCTCGGTTGCAAACTGATCTCAGTGGGTCTGACCTGACATTTAAACAGGAGTCAGGATATTGTCTTGTACAGGCTACCTCTTCTGTCTCAGTGGGTCGTACCTCGGTTGCAAACTGATACCTCAGTTGGGTGGGTCTGACCTGACATTTAAACAGGAGTCAGGATATTGTCTTGTACAGGCTACTTCTGCTGTCGTACCTCGGTTGTCGACATTTAAACAGGAGTCAGGATATTGTCTTGTACAACTTCTGCTGTCGTACGGTTGCAAACTGTTCTCAGTGGGTCTGACCTGACATTTAAACAGGAGATATTATCTTCAGGATATTGTACCTCTTGACAAACTTCTGCTGTCGTACCTCGGTTGCAAACTGATCTCAGTGGGTCTGACCTGACATTTAAACAGGAGTCAGGATATTGTCTTGTACAGGCTACTTCTGCTGTCGTACCTCGGTTGGCTCAGTGGGTCTGACCTGACATTTAAACAGGAGTCAGGATATTGTCTTGTACAGGCTACTTCTGCTGTCGTACCTCGGTTGGAAACTGATCTCAGTGTTGTCTGACCTGTCATTTAAACAGAAGTCAGGATATTTTCTTGTACAGGCTACTTCTGCTTTCGTACCTCGGTTGCAAACTGATCTCAGTGGGTCTGACCTGACATTTAAACAGGATTCAGGATATTGTCTTGGGTGGGTGACCTGACATTTAAACAGGAGTCAGGATATTGTCTTGTACAGGCTAATTCTGCTGTCGACATTTAAAAACTGATCTCAGTGGGTCTGACCTGACATTTAAAACAGGATTCTCTTGTACAGGATATTGTCTCAATGGGACTTCTGCTGTCGTACCTCGGTTGCAAACTGATCTCAGTGGGTCTGACCTGACATTTAAATAGGATTCAGGATATTGTCTTGTACAGGCTACTTCTGCTGCCGTACCTCGGTCGCAAACTGTTCTCAGTGGGTCTGACCTGACATTTAAACAGGAGTCAGGATATTGTCTTGTACAGGCTACTTCTGCTGTCGTACCTCGGTTGCAAACTGATCTCAGTGGGTCTCAGTACAGGCTACTTCTGCTGGGATCTCAGTGGGTCTGACCTGACATTTAAACAGGATTCAGGATATTGTCTTGTACAGGCTACTTCTGCTGCCGTACCTCGGTTGCAAACTGATCTCAGTGGGTCTGACCTGACATTTAAACAGGAGTCAGGATATTGTCTTGTACAGGCTACTTCTGCTGTCGTGCAAACTTTTCTCGGTTGACATTTAAACTGATCTCAGTCGGGTCTGACATTTAAACAGGAGTCAGGATATTGTCTTGTACAGGCACTTCTTTAACCAGGAATTGGGTCTGACCTCATTTAAACAGGGTCTACAGGCTATCGTACCTCATTGCAAAAATCTCAGTGGGTCTGACTGACATTTAAACAGGATATTGTCTTGTACAGGCTACTTCTGCTGTCGTACCTCGGTTGCAAACTGATCTCAGTGGGTCTGACCTGACATTTAAACAGGAGTCAGGATATTGTCTTGTACAGGCTACTTCTGCTGTTTCTGCTGTCGTACTCGGGTTGTCTGACCTGACATTTAAACAAGTCAGGATATTGTCTTGTACAGGCTACTTCTGCTGTCGTACCTCGGTTCTGATCTGGTACCTCGGTTGCAAAACTGATCTCAGTGGGTCTGACCTGACATTTAAACAGGAGTCAGGATATTGTCTTGTACAGGCTGATCTCTTCTGCATTTGTCGATACCTCGGTTGCAAACTGATCTCAGTGGGTCTGACCTGACATTTAAACAAGTCAGGATATTGTCTTGTACAGGCTACTTCTGCTGTCGTACCTCGGTTGCAAACTGATCTCAGTGGCTCTGACCTGACATTTAAACAGGAGTCAGGATATTGTCTTGTACAGGCAGGTTGCAAACTGATCTCAGTGGGTCTGACCTGACATTTAAACAGGAGTCAGGATATTGTCTTGTACAGGCTACTTCTGCTGTCGTACCTCGGTTGCAAACTGATCTCAGTGGGTCTGACCTGACATTTAAACAGAAGTCAGGATATTGTCTTGTACAGGCTACTTCTGCTGTCGTACCTCGGTTGCAAACTGATCTCAGTGGGTCTGACCTGACATTTAAACAGAAGTCAGGATATTGTCTTGTACAGGCTACTTCTGCTGTACCTCGTGATCTCTCGACCTGACATTTGCAAACTGACTTCTCTCATTGCCTCGTTTGGGTCTGACCTGACATTTAAACAGAAGTCAGGATATTGTCTTGTACAGGCTACTTCTGCTGTCGTACCTCGGTTGCAAACTGATCTCAGTGGGTCTGACCTGACATTTAAACAGGAGTCAGGATATTGTCTTGTACAGGCTACTTCTGCTGTCGTACCTCAGTTTGGTTGCAAACTGACATTTCTCAGCTGTCTTGTCAGGATATACCTCGGTTGCAAATCTCTGTCAGGATATTGTCTTGTACAGGCTACTTCTGCTGTCGTACCTCGGTTGCAAACTGATCTCAGTGGGTCTGATCTGACATTTAAACAGGAGTCAGGATATTGTCTTGTACAGGCTACTTCTGCTGTCGTACCTCGGTTGCAAACTGATCTCAGTGGGTCTGACCTGACATTTAAACAGGAGTCAGGATATTCTCTTGTACAGCTGTCTACTTCTGATCTCTGGGTCGACATTAGTCCTCTTGGTTGCAAACTGATCTCAGTGGGTCTGACCTGACATTTAAACAGGAGTCAGGATATTGTCTTGTACAGGCTACTTCTGCTGTCGTACCTCGGTTGGAAACTGATCTCAGTGGGTCTGACCTGACATTTAAACAGGAGTCAGGATATTGTCTTGTACAGGCTACTTCTGCTGTCGTACCTCGGTTGCAAACTGATCTCAGTGGGTCTGACCTGACATTTAAACAGGTACAGTCGTAGGCAAACTGATCTTGGGTCTGACCTGACATTTAAACAGGAGTCAGGATAGGCTACTTCTGCTGTCGTACCTCGGTTGCAAGGATCTCAGTGGGTCTGACCTGACATTTAAACAGGAGTCAGGATATTGTCTTGTACAGGCTACTTCTGCTGTCGTACCTCGGTTGCAAACTGATCTCAGTGGGTCTGACCTGACATTTAAACAGGATTCAGGATATTGTCTTGTACAGGCTACTTCTGCTGCCGTACCTCGTTTGCAAACTGATCTCAGTGGGTCTGACCTGACATTTTTCAGGATAACAGGCTACTTCTGCTGTCGTACCTCAGGCAAACTGATCTCAGTGGGTCTGACCTGACATTTAAACAGGTCAGGATATTGTCTTGTACAGGCTACTTCTGCTGTCGTACCTCGGTTGCAAACTGAAGTGGGTCTGACCTGACATTTAAACAGGAGTCAGGATATTGTCTTGTACAGGCTACTTCTGCTGTCGGGTCAGTGGGTCTGACCTGACATTTAAACAGGAGTCAGGATATTGTCTTGTACAGGCTACTTCTGCTGTCGTACCTCGGTTGCAAACTGATCTCAGTGGGTCTGACCTGACATTTAAACAGGAGTCAGGATATTGTCTTGTACAGGCTACTTCTGCTGTCGTACCTCGGTTGCAAACTGATCTCAGTGGGTCTGACTGACTGACAGGATATTGTCTTTAAACAGGATCTCAGTGGGGACCTATTTTCAGGTCTTGTACAGGCTACTTCTGCTGTCGTACCTCGGTTGCAAAAACTGATCATTTCAGTGGGTCTGACATTTAAACAGTGGGTCTGACCTGACATTTAAACAGAAGTCAGGATATTGTCTTGTACAGGCTACTTCTGCTGTCGTACCTCGGTTGCAAACTGATCTCAGTGGGTCTGACCTGACATTTAAACAGGAGTCAGGATATTGTCTTGTACAGGCTACTTCTGCTGTCGTACCTCGGTTGCAAACTGATCTCAGTGGGTCTGACCTGACATTTAAACAGAAGTCAGGATATTGTCTTGTACAGGCTACTTCTGCTGTCGTACCTCGGTTGCAAACAAACCTGACATTTAAACAGGAGTCAGGATATTGTCTTTACAGGCTACTTCTGCTGGTACCTCGGTTCTGAGTGGGTCTGACCTGACATTTAAACAGGAGTCCAGGATATTCTCTTGTACAGGCTATTCTGCTGTCGTACCTCGGTTGCAAACTGATCTCAGTGGGTCTGACCTGACATTTAAACAGGAGTCAGGATATTGGCTTGTACAGGCTACTTCTGCTGTCGTACCTGGTTGCAAACTGATCTCAGTGGGTCTGACCTGACATTTAAACAGAGGAGGTACAGGCTACTTCTGCTGACCTATTGTCAGTGGGTCTGACCTACAGGATATTCTCTTGTACAGGCTACTTCTGCTGTCGTCGTTGCAAACTGATCTCAGTGGGTCTGGACATTTTGCTACTTCTGCTGTCGTACCTCAGTTTGCAAACAGTGGGTCTGACCTGACATTTAAACAGGAGTCAGGATATCTACAGGCTAGTACCTGGGTCTGACCTGACCTGACATTTTCAGGATATTGTCTTGTACAGGCTACTTCTGCTGTCGTACCTCGGTTGCAAACTGATCTCAGTGGGTCTGACCTTAGTCAGGATATTGGCTACAGGCTACTTCTGCTGTCGTCGTTGCAAACTGATCTCAGTGGGTTGACATTTTAAACAAACTGATCTCTCGGTTGGGTCTGACCTGACATTTAAACAGGAGTCAGGATATTGTCTTGTACAGGCTACTTCTGCTGTCGTACCTCGGTTGCAAACTGATCTCAGTGGGTCTGACCTGACATTTAAACAGGAGTCAGGATATTGTCTTGTACAGGCTACTTGCTGTCGTACCTCGGTTGCAAACTGATCTCAGTGGGTCTGACCCGACATTTGTCAGGATATTCGCTACTTCTGCTGTCGGTTGCAAACTGATCTCAGTGGGTCTGACCTGACATTTAAACAGGAGTCAGGATATTGTCTTGTACAGGCTACATTTCTGCTGTCGTACTTCCTCGGTTGCAAACTGATCTCAGTGGGTCTGACCTGACATTTAAACAGGAGTCAGGATATTGTCTTGTACAGGCTACTTCTGCTGTCGTACCTCGGTTGCAAACTGATCTCAGTGGGTCTGACCTGACATTTAAACACAGGATAGTACAGGATATTGTCTTGTAAGGCTACTTATTGCTGCCGTCGGTTGCAAACTGATCTCAGTGGGTCTGACCTGACATTTAAACACAGAGTCAGGATCTTGTACAGGATTCTGCTGTCGTACCTCGGTTGCAAACTGATCTCAGTGGGTCTTTGACATTTAAACAAGTCAGGATATTGTCTTGTACAGGCTACTTCTGCTGTCGTACCTCGGTTGCAAACTGAAGACATTTAAAGTCAGGATATTGTCTTGTACAGGCTACTTCTGCTTGTACCTCGGTTGCAAACTGATCTCAGTGGGTCTGACCTGACATTTAAACAGTAGTCAGGATATTGTCTTGTAAATGCTGTGGGTTGATCTCAGTGGGTCTGACCTGACATTTAAACAGAATTCAGGATATTCTTGTACAGGCTACTTCAGTGATGTTGCAAACTGATTCAGTGGGTCTGACCTGACATTTAAACACGAGTCAGGATATTGTCTTGTACAGGCTACTTCTGCTGTCGTACCTCAGTTTGCAAACTGATCTTCTGGGGAACATTTAAACAGATCAGGGTTCAACTATAAATACAGAAGATAACAATATATCTGACATTTGTGATATGGCTGATTTTTCTCAGTGGGTCTGACCTGACCGCAAATTGGATATTGTCTTGTCAGGAGATATGTCAAAGATTCAGTGGGTCTGACCTGACTTTTAAAATCTTGATGGTTTTACTCAAACTGAAATCTGACCTGTGGTTTTCACCCTCTAAATGTTGGACGTTGAAAAGGATTTCAGTGATGTTACATGGCGATTTGCAACGTTGGTTTGTGTCTGTAACAATAAAAATCTAAGGATTCTCGAGATAAAATGAAAACATGGTTTCACCCTCTGAAACAGAATAAAATCTCAAAATGAAAACATTAATCACATAATAAAAAAACTGTTGACTATCGGACTGTTACAAAAGGTAATATCGATTTAGTTAAATATTTAATGTCAATTCACATCATCTTCACCGCAATCGGATCAGGATGTATCAAAAGTATTTTCGTTTTTCAATCTTGTAAAAATGATTGTTATATGTTTATCTTTAATTTTATTTAACGCCACTCATTTTACTGTGACTCGTAATCTTTTAAATTTATTTATTTTTTGTGTTTGGGCATACAGCCTTGGTAATTTCATTAATTTTCATAACATTGTTATTGCACACACACACACACACATATATATATATATATATATATATATATATATATATATATATATATATATATATATATATATATATATATATATAATTTAAATAAAAACAGAACACTTTAAGGTTCCATGTAATAAATTATTTCACCACAGCCCTTTTAAAAGGACTGCGGATCATCAGACTTTACTTCCAAACAATAAATGAAAAGAAAATTTACACATTTTTGACGGGCCGTATTAAACATATGTAAATTAACGAAGTGAGGAAGTGAGGGTGGAGAGAGAAGACATGAGTGAGTTAGCAGACATTGACACATTTAAATGGTTATATATAATATATATATATATATATATATATATATATATATATATATATAGCATCAAATAACAATTGGAAAAAAAATCTTACATTTGCCGACGCGTTTCGTCTTCCGACTTTTTCAAGGCAAAAAAAAAAAAAAAAGAAAAAGTCGGAAGACGAAATGCGTCGGCAACATGTAAGATTTTTTTTCCACTTGTCATTTGGTGCCAATCTGTCTTGTCCACAGAATTCATCTGGGAATTTAACTATATGTATGTATATACGACTGACGAGGAAATGCAATTAAAATTTCATTCAATTTCTCTTGTGTTCAAAAATTTTTTTATTTTTTCTGGATATCTGATCTATTTTTTTGTAAAAATAGACTATAGCAGAAGACACGTCCTCCCTGCACCGTACAATGAACCGACCATTTTTTTCAGGCTCTTTAGCGATGGATCGTATGTACGAGTTCCAATTGAGGTCTGAGTTTAGCGTATGGCCGAATAGGCGCACAAAACACGTGGCCTCACTTAGTGAACACCCGGTCATCGGGATAGGTGAAAATTTAGGCTGCGTTCGGTGAGGATGGAATGTCACTATTTTGGATTTCGAAACATTGAATGTGTCCAGCCCGTTCCCCTCCAAAGAGTCTTTAATCTAGGTCAGAGCAAAGACCAACTGTCAGACTCTATTCATCTAGAATTTCGGAGATTCACCCATCATCAGCATAGATATTCAAAAATCTTTGGCGTATAAACTTAGAAGAATAATGGGGTACGTCGGTGATGATCGCTTGACCCGCGTATTGACAACTTGCCTCAGGAATCTTACCTCAGGAAAGACTTGATAACAAAAAAGACAATTTCAGTTATTTTATAGCTAGAGAACTTGTGCCCTTACCTTGTATGTCACAACTTATCAAAGATTTTGAAATATCTAATACTGCCATCCTTGAGATCGACCTGTTGAGATCAATCACTGATTCTGTGAGTAAGTAATATCAATCAGGATATTAGAGATAAGGATATCAGCAGTGGACCGAAACAATCGTAATCCGTACTGCTTGCCGTTCAAGCGCTTATACCTATTGAGGTGATCAACAATTTTCTTTTTGATTATAAAAGTTGCCAAATGACACTGAGGTGGCTGATGAGCTGATACTGATAAAAGGATGAGCACCCATTCATACTCTTGGAAACAGGGTAAACAATTGACACCTTCTACAGACTTGGAAAGTATTTCTGATTCAAGCACCGGTTAGAGAGTATCGCTATTCATAGATTCTATTGCTAGAAAACTTGTATATTAACACTGTTTGTTACACGATGTCAAAGCGTTTTGAAATATCGTCCTTGAGTAATATTTGTTGTCTGGCGCCTCACCTCCTATGAGATATGACAGTCATCATATCAGAGTTGAGGAAGAATTCAGAAGGGAAAAGTTTGACGATGTAGCCTCACATCTGTGACTTAAAAAATAAACTATTAAAACCATACTGGTATTTATGTTTTCATAATGACCCTATCATAGAACGATACCATTTGTGCTGGGGAAAATGTCTGGAGTTCTTAGGGATGTATTAATTTTGACATCGATGGAATTCAAAATGTTTAAACAGATCTTGGAATCAGTATTGAAAAAATTTCATTCAATCTGAAAATTCCACCAGGTTATAATTAAAAGAAATTCCTTAATAATGGTTTAAATGGGAAGAAAATTTACCTACCCAAAATGAGAGACAACTGCAAGAAACGATGTTTGGATTCCGAGGTGAAGTAAAATTCTTTGCCAATTGGATCCAAGATTTATTTAATGGAAACCTGCAAGTATGTAAAACATAAATGAATTTTAAATAAGAAAAAGCATATCAAAACTTAAATGAACGTTTAATTTCGTTAAAAATATATGTTGTATAATTGCGGAAAGTACTGATTGCTAGATCGTGTCAAACATACCTATATCACAAGGAACGTTGAGATCTTAAATTCATTAAAAAGAGAAAAAAAAAAAAAGATGATTATCCCCGAAATCGAATGGACAATAACCAGAGTGATAATAAAAATCTGAAATATGTAGTACTCAATGGCCAATGATGACGTTCGGAGATATTTTAAAAAAATTCTTCTGTCTATTTTAAAGAAAATAACCTATTAAACTCATTCCTGTATTTTTGTTTCTAGAATGATCCTATAGTAGAAAGATGCCTTTAGGGTAAGGAAGGTTTCTAGATTGCTTAGTGATATATCATTATAAACCTTAAATTCATCGAAATGCTTGTTCATAGAATGTAACTTGTCCAAACGAAATCTGTTGGTCAAAACAACGTTTGTTAGCAAATGTTACAGAAAAATTTGCGTTGTGAATATAAAGCTAATTCTATTTTCATGTAGCCGAGGAATTCAGAAGTGGAAAGTTCGGCCATGTTGCCTCACATCTGTCACTTAAAAAATAAACTATTAAGATCATACTCGAATTTATGTTTTCATAATGACTATCAAAGAACAATAGTTTTTGTGCTGGGGAACGTGTCTGGAGTTCTTAGAGGTTCTTGGTGTCTAAGGTCAGCCAATATCTCTCCTACTCATTCTCATAATACTCTCTTACTTCCCCCTTTCCTCTCCTTTACAGACCTACTCAGTAAGCTTCTACCTTGAGTGACTCTTGGCCCCTTTTATTTAATGAGCTACCAGGAAATGAAAAAAAAAAAAAAATTAAAGCCAAGACAAATTTTGGATCATAGGAAGTTAAAAATTGTCGCAAAACATTTTTTGATTTATTTAAGATGGAATGATATATTAATGACGTCTCTATTTAGATACATTGTAATTATTTTCAATTTTTCTAGTTGAATTGTTCACCTACGTATATTGCAATAAATATTGTATTTTATATAAATACTACCTCATGAAAATTGGGATGCAATAGAATGGGGGGGGGCTTATTATAAATTCAAAATTTTTTATTTTATTTTTTTAAAAAAAAAAAAATCTCAGGTTGACGTTAAAAATTGCGCGAAAAACATTTGTTGATTTATTTAAGATGAAATAATCTATTATGGCATGTCTTTATCTTTATTTTGCCGAATTGTTTTGTTAGATTACAATGAAAATTGTATTTTATATGAATACTACTACATGAAAATTGAGATGTTTTAGAAGAGGTATCAGAAATTCGTGGGTCCTAAGTGGGGCCTAAGCGATCCTTACACCGGCCCTGTATATACACACACACACACACACACACATATATATATATATATATATATATATATATATATATATATATATATATATATATATATATATATATATATATATATATATAATATATAAATAAATAGCTAAAACACTAATATTCTATGGATATAATTTATTACATTGGAATCGGAATCACGATTCAATTCATCAGACCTACAAATTCAAAAATTTCAATATATATATATATATATATATGTGTGTGTGTGTCAATATATATATATATATATATATATATATATTTACATATCTGTCTCTCACTATATATATATATATATATATATATATATTTAATACATATATATATATTTAATACATATATATATTTACATATCACTCTCTCTCTATATATATATATATATATATATATATATATATATATATATATATATATATATATAGTCTTAAGGTGTGCTATATTTATGGGATAAAGTACTCAATATCAGAAATAGAGCGTGGGTAAATATAAAAGTGAACATAGAA